ACCCAAAGGTCCAAGGAATGTAAGATGACATTCAGGTTCAAGGTCTGATCTCTCTTTACAGAGAGGACTCATCTTCTCTGGGCTTCCTCCAGAAAATTCTCCACCTGCCCCACATGACTGGTACCTTGTGGCAGGGATCAACAGTGCAGATCTCACTGATCTCCAGGTCATGCAGTGACATGAGGAGCTCTGCCCTGAGCGTGCAGTAATGGACGTTCCTGGTGCGCAGGAACAGGGTCCTGAGGAACTGCAGCACCATGTCGTAGAGCTTCACGTTCTTGCCGATCATCTGCGTCAGCTTCTGCACCACCTGGGCTCAGAGGGAAACGGGGGCTCAGCACCAAGAGGTGCTCTCATTCTACACACACACAAATGTAAATCAGTTATGTTACATGATTTACCAAGGCTGAAGCATCTGCAGGGACATGAGGTCCTGAAGAGGAACTGTTTACCCCAAGATTTCCAAGAGCATTTGTTCAAGAGATGTTCACCAAATCTTCAACAGCCATAACCTGTTTTTGTCTCAACCCACCAGTTTCTTTCTTCTACCCTTCTGATTCTCCCTCCATCCCCTCAAGGGGAGTGACCAAGTGGAGGTGTGGTGCTGAGTGTCCAGCTGAGGTTAAAGCACAACTCTGCAGTGCAAACCTGGAGTAAATTGCACCAGGGCACTTACACCAAATGATTTTGAAAGTAAAACAGGCCTAAAACAACCCTTCATAACAGATGTGCTGCCTTCTCTGAAATTAAAGCTTTATACTGCCTTAATTTAATTAATCTTTTCTGGATGCTAATTAACTTACAACTTACATACTTAAAAAAAAAAAAAAAAGCAACTTCAGTTAAGCTATGTCCACTAAAAAAGGTCCCAAGAAAGAAAATTAAATTTAACATATCAGCATACTCAAACTGATGTGATAAGAGATGTTCAGTTTTCAGAACAGCTGAAGTGCATTAAAACCAGACTGAACAACAGAGAAAAAAATCTGCCCTTTCTTTTTTTGAAGTGCCTAAACAGCTAAGAACATTCATCATTTATTACACAACAACTAAAATAATTCATGCTGTTTTCATCAAGATGTGTAGGAGAAAATGGCCTGGTGTTTGTTGCAGAGAGTTTGTTCAGCTGAACTTCAGCAGTGAAGGTGGGCAGAAGAAAACAATCCAGGTTTGTGATGGCTGACTGAAAGCTGGTAAATTCCCCTCACCAGCATTGTGAGGGTTTCCTTCTCCTTACCTCTCCTTGACGTCTTGTTTTGGGAGATGGACTGAAGAAATTTTGCAAGAAGGAAATATCATTGCTGAAGAGAATGTTCTCCTTCTCCAGGATGTATTGCTTCAGCAGGGGTGACACCTCATCCCCAAAGAGAGCCTGGTTGTCCTGCCAGATCTGCCTCTTCACCTCCACAGCACAGGCCTTGTACAGGTCCTTATCAGCCATCACCAGCTTCAGCTTCTTCTCAGGGACCTGCAATGCCCAGAGCAGTTACACAGTGAGCAGCACCTCACTGCCTGCCTGTCCATGGAACCATCTAAATCATGGAATCACAGAATGTCTTGAGCTGGGAGGGACTGAAGGGATCACCCAGCCCAGCCCCTGTCCCTGCCCAGACCCCCCAACAAGCCCACCCTGGGCATCCCTGGCAGCGCTGTCCAAAGGCTCCTGGAGCTCTGGCAGCCTCGGGGCCGTGCCCATTCCCTGGGGAGCCTGGGCAGCGCCAGCACCCTCTGGGGGAAGAACCTTGCCCTGATCTCCAGCCTGAGCTGCCCTGGCCCAGCCCCAGCCGTGCCCTGGCTCCTGTCCCTGTCCCCGAGCAGAGATGGGAGCTGCCCCTCGGGAGGAGCTGCAGCCCCGGGGAGCTCAGCCCTCACTCTGCTCAGCTGAACAATGCCAGAGCCCTCAGCTGCTCCTCACGGGCCCCTCCAGACCCTTCCCCATCCTTTCACCATTTTCCAACAGCTTTAGATGTTTTTTATCTCGTACCCAAACAGCCCCAGGACTCAAGGTGAGGCTGCCCCAGCACAGAGCAGAGCAGGACAATCCTCTCCATGCCCTGATCCCCACCTCAGGCAGTCTGGGCATTCACCCACCTGGTGCAGCAGTAGACCAGCCCTAAGAGACTTCAACAACCAAATCACACACCCTTAATTCTTTCAAGGAAGAAAAAAGATCTACTTTAAATCTCCAGTGCTGAGATTTAAGGTGATATTTCCAAACTCAGTAATTTGCTGAAGTTCCAGCAGTGTTTTGAGTCCATTACCTTGAATGCAATATGATGCTTTTAATAAGAACAATCCTAGAGATTTTTGTTTCACAGATCTGATTCTCCCTCCTGACTACTTTTAATTGCACTCTTCAAATCTTACCTTCCACTTGTCAGAGATTTGTAAATCAGCTGTGGAAAAATTCACCTATCAGCAAACTTGGCTTTTTAGGAAGCTGCATGGATTGAAGGAAATAGGGAAATAGTCTTGTCTGATTATGAAAAGGTGAAATGCTTTTTGAATTAGTCCACTGAGCTACTAGCAGACACAAGAATGTACTGAATCCTGAGTCAGTCCCTGACACTGAGCAACACCTGCAGCAGGAGCAGAGGGAGCAGAGCCCACCTGCCAGAGGCACACCAGAGATGGCACACCAGTGACACACCAAGTCACACCAGCCAACCAGTGCAGTGTCCCACCTTGGGCAAGTGCTTCATGACACACATGACCACGGGCTGTATCGAGGGCATCTTGACCAGGGAAAAGCTCTTCTCTAGGAGATCTTCCAGCTTCTTGTATCTGAAATCATGGAAAAACACGAGACTAGGTACCATGCAGCAGCAAAGGAACAAAGTGGCCACCCCAAAGTCTCTGGAACTCAGTCCCTGAGGAAGCCAACTCTCCTTTAGAGAAGTCACCCATCCACTGCATTTTCACACACAGCTCCCAGCCCACTCCAAGGAATCAAGGACACTGCTGACAAACCTCTCCTCGACCTTCCCCTCCAAAGCGATGGCAGAGACTCTCTCCAGCAGCTTCTCCCGCAGCTCATCGAACACGGACTGGTGGAACTCGAGCCGGGGGGTGCCGTGCAGGTCCAGGAAGGGCAGGGCATACTGCAGCGAGGGCAGCAGCACCCCGTTCTCCGTCTGCAACACAACCGCAGAGAGAACTCACAACGGCACTCAGGATAACAAAGGAAGCCAGGAAAAGCCCAGACAGCACTGGGGGCCGTCCCTGTGCTCCCTGTCCCCGCACAGCCCGGCCCCACACGGCACCCAGCGCACCTGGAACTGCTCGATGGCCTTCAGCGGCTCCGTGCAGTTCGTGAGGGTCTCCTTGAGATCCTCGCCGTTGGCCACTCCCAGCTCCTGCAGCCCCGCGTACATGTCGGCCTGGCCGGGTCCGCGGGGCCGCTCCCGCCTCAGCTCCCGCTCCCGATCCCGGCCCCGTTCCCGATCCCGTTCCCGGCCCCGATCCCGCCTCAGCTCCCGCCCCGGCTCCGCGCGGTCCGCCCCGGCCCGCTCCCGCCGCGCGCGGGCCCCGCGCCGCAGCACCAAGGTTCCGCCGCAGCAAGGTTCCGCGGCGGCTGCCCTGGGTGTCCCCGGGCTCCCCGCGGCCACAGCGGCCCGAGGAGCTCGGTGCGGCTGGCTGAGCGCCGGGCAGGGCGGACGGAGCTCAAGGAGCCTTTGGACAGCGCTCTCAGGCACATGGAATCACAAAAGCATGGAAGGCTCGGGCTGGAAGGGACCTTAGAGGGTCACCTGGTCCCACCTTCCCCTCCAAGCAGGGTCATCCCAGAGCACACGGCACAGGGTCGTGTCCAGACGGCTCTGGAATATCTCCAGCGAGGGAGACTCCACTCCCTCTATGGGCTGCCTGTTCACTGCTTGGTCACCCACACAGGAAAGAAATTCTTCCCCACGTTCAGGTGGAACTCCCTGGGTGTCAGTTGCTGCCTCTTGTCCACTGCTGGGCACCAGCAGAGTCTGGTCCATGCTCTGACACCACCCTTTAGATACCCACACACACTGTTGAGGTCCCCTCTGGGCTGTTTCTTCTCCAGGCTGAACAGGCCCAGCTCCCTCAGCCTTTCCTTGCAAGAGAGCTGTTCCAGAGCCTTGACCAACTCAGCAGCTCTCCACAGGACCTGCTCCAGGAGCTTGCCCATGGTGGGACTTGGGCTGTCCTGTGCGGGGCCAGGGGTTGGACTCGATCCTTGTGGGTCACTTCCAACTCAGAAGATTCTGTGATTCCATGTTTCTACATAGCAAAGCTCAGGGTTCCTGGGGCTGTCTGAGGCTTCCTCATGGGCACTCAGCAATGAAAAGAGGAAATGTCACTAAAACCAGAGAAGTGGAATTTCCCCATTCCTGGTTTGATCTTCAAATACATGACCAGTCTGTGGACATGAGCAATCAGCCAAATGCCTCAGTGCGAGCAGCCACAGAGTTTTCTTCACAATTTCCATTTGCAGGGATGAGACTTTGTGGCACTGTCAGGAGAAAGCAGGCATGTGTTCCATAAAGCCTGAGCCTTGGTTATTTTCCACAGGGAGGCTGTCAGGAAGGGGGGCTCAAGCCCTCAGGAATAAAGTAAATCCAGTGACAAGCAGTTTCCCCACTTCTAATTTGGAAGCTCACACTGCCAGACGAGGAATACCAAAGGGATGAGTTTTGCCTGCTTTCTGCTTATTACCCAGCCGAGTTAACCCCACATTTCTGTTTACCTCAGCCCCGCTGCCTGGGGCAGTTTCGAGGTTGCAGCGGTGCCGTTGCACAGCTGGCCCTGGGACGGGCACGGAGCCCTCCTGCAATTTATGGGCAGCAGGGATGGAAGGGAAAGCAGAGCTGCCTGACACATCTCAGCCAGGCCCACGCGCCCCTGTGGTCCCTGTGGCTTGGGGCTGGGCTAAGTCAGAGCCTGGCCCCGGCCACGCCTTGCTGCTCTTTTTAAAGGTTGTTGAAGCAGCCGGTTTGCTGCTCCACTGCTTCCTCTCTGGTGAAAGGAGAAGCTCTTCATGTCTTGGCGTGAGCTGCTTCCCCCCTGGCTGGTGATCGTAGCGGGACTGACGGGCATCGTGCTGCTCTGTGTCTCCACCAAAGATGTGCCCGTGGCCCCACTCAGGACCAAGGTAAGGGCTCTCCAGGGGGCAGACAGGCAGCTAAGCTGGGCTGTTTTGTTGCTTTTGACATTATTTTATTATTGAGCTGCTTACAAACCGAGGAGGGAACTGGGACAAGACTGTCAGGACAGGTTGGCATCTTTCAACACGCTGTAGGTTTTCAAACCAGAAACAAGCCCACCCCTTGGCTTGGTCAGGGAATGCAGGCTGGATATGGTCCATGGATCAGTGGAGATGCTCAGGGCAGGCTGAGAGGAGGCAGCCCATGGCAGGAGCTTCCCCAAAGCAACAAGGAACCATTGGTGTCAGTGCAGGGAAAGAGCTAGGTCCCTCTCAGAAATCAGTAGGAATGTGCCCCTGAACTGCTCCTTCTGTCCTAAAAACAAATTGTCTTTCATGCCTTTTTCTCTTTGGTCCTATCTTGATTTCAATCAAAGAGCCAGTGTGCTCCTCACAGCTGGGTCAGATCTGGGGGGGTTAATGCTCTCCTGCTCTGTCTCTAGGTGCTCCCATTGCTGAGGTGAGCTCAGTGGCACACCATTGTTTCACCCAACAGAAGGAGGCTATCCTGTGTGTTTAGAGATAGCACCCCTCCTCCATGTTCCTCTCAGAAACAAAACTGGATTAAAAACCCCATTATTGCTCCATGTTCTGTCCTTTCCTGGTGTTGAGCTGGACATAAATGTGGTGATCCCTCCCCTTCTCTGTTGTGCTCCCAGCACAGCCTCTAATTTTCTGAAGGAGGAAAAAAAATATCCATGTTTCTCCACCAATGCCATTCCTTTCTTCCTCTTCTGAGGCAGCCAACATGTCCCTGCTAGAAATCCGAGCTGTCACTGGTGTGGGAGGGTGCCAGCAGGCTCGGGCAGGGAGCTCCAGCCTCCTTCCGCATTGCTGCTCCAGCCCAGCCCCGCCAGCCCCTGGCCTGGGTGCCAGCAGGACTGGTGCAACTGGGAGCTCCAGGAGGGCAGCAGGCAGCCAGCCTCACTGAGAGGCTGCAGCCAGCTCAGTCTGGTGCTGAAACCCTTCTGGTGGCATTAACATCAACCTCTCAGGAGGTTTCTCCTCCCACTCAGTTACAGATCTATTTGTGTGTGAGATCCAGCTTCGACCACGCACTAGCATGCAGCTCATGAGTTTCCTTCCTGTCTGTATGAGATATCCCAAACTGGGGTCATGCAATAGGAGCAGAGGAGCCCCAGACTAGCTCTGGAGCTATTTTGGGTGTGGGGGCATCCTGAGCTGTGCTGCAGGGTGGTCCAGTGGCCTCCACTTGCTCATCCTCATATACTGGGAGCAGCAAGGCTTGGTCAGAAGCAAACAGACAAACACTGGGGACAAAGAGACAGAGAGCCCTTGGCTTGGGTAATGGCAGAGTTGCCAGGGGACAAGGGGCTGAGCTGGTCATATTCACTGCTGCTGCTCTTCCTGCCAAGACATCATCTCTGTCTCTGAGGGCTGCTGTACAGTGTCTGTGCTGCTTGCTGCAGCTCCACAGACAGCTCTGCACACATCAGGGCAATCCTCGCCTGTGTCACACCCTCACTGCAGTGGGACATCAAAGAGGCACAGGAGTCCTGGGCTCCTCGGGACAAGTGAGCTGCAGCCCTCCAATCCCTGCACAAAAGCCTGAGCAAACCAATCAGCAGCAGTTTGAGCCCCAGAATCAGTGGAGAACTCGTACAGTGCTATCTCCCACTGCTTTAGGACCTGTTTTTCCTGAGCTCCAGGTGGCTCAGCTCTCAGGGGAAGCCCTCTGCCTGGTTTCAGGAGCAGCTCCAGCACATGCCACTGTAGGGCTGGTGTATTTCTGGGCGTTTCTCCACTCCTGCTGTTCCTCATATATATTCAGAAATGCAGATGATCCCCTGCAAATCCTCATAATCTTCTGGCTTCGCCTGCTCTTTGAATGTAACAAGCAAACTCAAACACGGCAGTGCAGGCCCAGGGGTCATGCAGAACACCTGTATATGCTGGGTAACCCTACAATATCAGTCAGCAGGCATTCAATAGTGTTTTTCAGTAGAACGTTGTGGGGTTTTTCCAGTATGGCATTGTTCTGGATGCTGGTCCATCCCGCACCATCCTGTTCATCTACCAGTGGACAACCACCAAGGCAAACAAGACTGGGGTGATCAGAGGATGCAGTTCCTGTCCTGTGCAAGGTAAGGTGCCCATTTCCTACTCAGTGGTCTGTGAGACTGCCATGGGATGGATGGAAAAACAGAGACCTGTGCATGGACCAGTGCCATAAATTCCTTGGCTCCTGCACCACCCAGCTGTGCACAGAAATGGTGAAGCACGTGCCTATTTTCAGTATGTCTCTTCTTGGCTGGGCAGATTTAGCCACACACAGCTGGCCATCAGGCACTTGGCAATAGCAGGTGTCAGGATTTTGGGGCTGCTGCAGGCAGGGAAGCATGCAGAGAGGATGTGGCTTGTCTTGATGTCCACATGGATCAGTGGTAGAGCCAAGGTTGCTGGAGCTTCTCACCCAGGAGAGGCAGTGAACAGCAAGGGAGACAAATCTGACTGCAGGATGACTCCTGGTATCTTCTGCCTCCTCCTGACTGTGCCCTGGGCAGTGAGTGGGGGGTAGTTCCAGGACAGAGCTGAAAAGACTCCAATCCCCTGTGTGGCATTTGACAACACAAGCATGAGTTCAGCTTGCCTTTAGGTGTCCCATTTCAGAGAATTTGGGGGTTTTCCTCACAAATTTGAATCAGTTTGGCCCTGCCAATGCCAGCTGAGAGCGTTTCATGCATTAATGCATGGGGTTTTCCTTCCCTATCTCCTAATCTTGCTTTGATGTTAAAGCCTGGTTGTAGTGGGATGCTGGGAAGGACTGAGCCCTCAGCAGCAGCATGCTGTGGGAGGGCAGCTGCACAGCAAGCAGGGAACAGGGTTTGTGCCATTGCAGGCTGTAAACAACACAAATCACACACAGAAGATGCAAGAAGGGCTCCCTGAAACCTTGTTGTGTCCCTCATTCAGTGGCTGGGTTAAGCAGCAGCTCTGTGAGGCAGTTTGCTGGCAGCAGCAGCACAAGAGGCCCAGGCAGGTCTGGAGCCCAGGTGTGGCCTGTGCCACAGAAAGCAGAGCACCTGGTGAGGGAATCAGGAGGATGGGGAAGGGAGACTCTGCCTGGGTAGTAGTTCAAAACCAGCATTTAAGACCCCATTGACTTGCTGGAAAAATGAGTCAAGGCTGGCACAGAGCTTCCCTCTGCAGGGCACTGGCTTCCTCTAGGGCAGGGGTGTCTTGCTTGCCAGCAGGGGCTCAGTGGCTGGAGGAGAGAGGTGACACATCAGCTTCTGTGTGTCCTTTGCTTATTTCTATGGCAACTAAAGCCACATTTCTTCCTCTGTGGGCTGAGACAGCCTCAGCTGTTGCAGCGGTCATGTGGCAGGTATAGATGTCTCAGCTGCAGAGCTAGGGTAGTCTTAGTGTAATTTGGGATTTCTGTGCACATTTTTGTCTCAGTTCCATATTTTAGCAGGATGGATATCTGCAAGGTCTCCTTCATTCCACCTGTGACAGGTTCTGTCTTAACCATGTCCTAGGGTAGCAATCTCTGGGGTAACAGCTCTCACAGTTCTCCCATAACCTCCCTTAAAATTCCATTCTGTTCCGTGGTCCTCAGGTCCAGGAGTCTCCAGCTACTCAGATTCTCCTCAGAAAGCTGGGAAGAGCTTGGAGCCGTGTTTGAACTGGGCCCAGAATGAGATTCCAGCAGAGCAGCACAGCCAAACCCCCCTGTACTTGGGAGCCACAACCAGCATGAGGCAGCTGAAGTGAGTGAATGTTGCAAACCCACAGCCAGAGATCAGCACACACCACGGGATCATTCTGTAACAGGCATCTCACCCTGTCTGCTCTGCAGGGTGAGCCATCCCTAGTGTGCTAGCCAGGTAAACCTTCCTCGGGCCCTGAGGAGAGGAGCATGGCGTGGCTGTGTCTCCATGTGTTGCCCCAGGCAGCCGTGAAGATGACAGTCCTGCAACTGCTGCCAGGCTGGTAGTGTCTCCTTCACAATTCCACTTTCACAATTAGTGCTTGGGAAAACACCCATCAGTCTGGAAGCTCAAGTGTTTTCAGTTTGTGTGACAGCCCACGTAGGCTTGCAGGAGTGCTTCTTGTCAGCAAATTGGAAATGGTGCTGGGAAGGTTCCCCTTATCACACACACTCTTGTGGATCCTCTTCTCAGTCACCACATTACTGGGACGTTCATCTCCTTTTAGACACTGGGAAAAAGCAAGGTCTGGAGGGGACCAGGCCAGTGGGATAGGGCTAGAGGATTTCCTCAGTAACAGAGGGTACTAAGGTTCTAAATTCTTAAACAGTGGCACAATTGTTCAAACCATCCCTCTGCTGTTCTTGCCTCCAGTGCCATGCGAGGGGAGAGGGAAGCAGCAGCAGGAGTGGGATTGTCACTGTGTCTGTGGGCTACTACCCAAAGTAGGGAGCACAGCAGAAGCCCTGCAGTGTGCCCCCACTGCAGGCAGCTCCTGGCAGGGTCCTGTAACATCAAATGTGCCTTCTTTTTCTTTTGTGTTTAGCCTCACCCATCCCATCCTCTCTGCCAGTCTCCTTGCAGCTCTGACTGGCACCCTGAAGTCATCCCCCTTCAACTTTCAAGGGGCACAAATCCTGTCCAGCCCAGAGGAAGAAGCATTCAATTGGGTTGCTGTTAACTACGTCCTGGAAAACTTCTTCAAGGTAAAGGGTGATTCTCCCTGGGCCACACAGAGCTGGGCTGAGCAGCTCCTGTTAAGAGACAGCCACAGAGACAAGTGATGGGATGGGTAAACCCCTGTATTTAATGCTTCAGCACAACTTCCACTGCCTTTCAGAGGAGGCAGCTTAGATCCAGCACCAGCTGGTTGAGGTGAGGAGGTGAGGCCCTGGCACAGGGTGCCCATAGCAGCTGTGGATGCCCCATCCTCCCACCCCTGGAAGTGTCCAAGGCCAGGTTGGACAGGGCTTGGAGCAGCCTGGGACAGTGGAAGGTATCCCTGCCCATGGCAGGGGGTTGTAATGAAGTGAGCTTTAATATTCCTCCCAACCCAAACCATTCTGTGGTTCCATGGTCATTACTAGGCTGAAGAACCAAATCTCTGCTCTGGCCTTCCATGAACACATCCATGCAGTTGCCCTGTCAGACATGAGGCTTTCTGGCCAGCACATCCAGGATGCTCACGTAGATGACCTTACCTAGCCTGGACATGGCCATCACCAAGAACTCCACTGCAGCTGTAGCTCAGTGCCTCTGTCTAACAGGAGTTGCTGCTGTTTGTGGAGTGCTGTGGGATTGCCACTGGAGTCCAGCTGTCCCATGGGGAGTCATGTGGATGGTAGAGAAGCAGATTCTGTTGCTGCTGAAGCAAAAGCCTCTCTCAGTGAGACACCAAGAAGGCCTGCTCTGTATTTAGAAGGCACTTGCTAAACAAAAAGAAAATCATTTCAGTTTTCTTGTTTCACCCATCACTTCTCAAGCCAAAGGGTCTCAAAAATAACTCAGAAGGCAAGAGAAAGGTGGGTTAGACAGAGTTACTTCTCATCAGGGATGTGAAAAGCAGCTCTGATAACCAGCAGCAGGCACACACTGGTTAGGGAATTATCAGACATGTTGACAGCCTCCTCCAGCCAGGCACAGAGTGTTTACCCCATGTAAACTCTCCTGCCTGTGCTGCAAATTTCAGCATTGCCAAAGTCAGTTCTGCAAGACTGCAGGAGATGATGCCACAGGGTTCTTCTGAAGGATCACTTTAGCATCAAGGCAGCACTTGAAACCCATATATGCCCTCTTGGAAACGTCCCTGCCATGCTCCACCACCCTGTCCACTGTCCCCTTCTTCTGCCTGCTGAGACCACTGCCTGGTACAGCCATCCGGGCTGGGCGGCCCTGTTTGCCCCCACAGGCTGTGGGAAGGCTCTGTGCAGGTGGCAGTGCCTGTACACTGGCTCCTCTGTTCCCTCCAAAGCCCCTGCTTCAGCACCCTTGTGTCCTGTGGGCAAAAAAGAGTTGGGCTGTGGGCACCATCGAGCTGCTTTCTCTCTGTGCACTAATGCTGGCACTTGGCCGTGACTGAGATGGAGAAGTGTCAAGGACTGACCTCTCTTCTTCTTTTTGGGTCAGTATGACTGGCAAGGGCAGTTGGTCCCCTCCAGGAAGGGGATGGCAGGAGTCCTGTCCATGGGAGGAACCTCAGCACGGCTCACTTCCGAGCTGGAAGAAGAGAAACAGGTCCCAGAGGAGGGAGTGAGGCTGCAGCTCTACGGGCAGACACACAGGGTGCACAGCCGCCAGTGCCCCTGCCACGGCACGGAGCAGCTCCGCAGCAGGCTGCTCGCTGTGCTCCTCCAGGTGAGTGTGAGTGTCTGCTCTCTGTGCTCATCCCGGTGAGTGTGAGTGTGAGTGTCTGCTCGCTGTGCTCCTCCAGGTGAGTGTGAGTGTCTGCTCTCTGTGCTCATCCCGGTGAGTGTGAGTGTGAGTGTCTGCTCGCTGTGCTCCTCCAGGTGAGTGTGAGTGTCTGCTCTCTGTGCTCATCCCGGTGAGTGTGAGTGTGAGTGTCTGCTCGCTGTGCTCCTCCAGGTGAGTGTGAGTGTCTGCTCTCTGTGCTCATCCCGGTGAGTGTGAGTGTGAGTGTCTGCTCGCTGTGCTCCTCCAGGTGAGTGTGAGTGTCTGCTCTCTGTGCTCATCCCGGTGAGTGTGAGTGTGAGTGTCTGCTCGCTGTGCTCCTCCAGGTGAGTGTGAGTGTCTGCTCTCTGTGCTCATCCCGGTGAGTGTGAGTGTGAGTGTCTGCTCGCTGTGCTCCTCCAGGTGAGTGTGAGTGTCTGCTCTCTGTGCTCATCCCGGTGAGTGTGAGTGTGAGTGTCTGCTCGCTGTGCTCCTCCAGGTGAGTGTGAGTGTCTGCTCTCTGTGCTCATCCCGGTGAGTGTGAGTGTGAGTGTCTGCTCGCTGTGCTCCTCCAGGTGAGTGTGAGTGTCTGCTCTCTGTGCTCATCCCGGTGAGTGTGAGTGTGAGTGTCTGCTCGCTGTGCTCCTCCAGGTGAGTGTGAGTGTCTGCTCTCTGTGCTCATCCCGGTGAGTGTGAGTGTGAGTGTCTGCTCGCTGTGCTCCTCCAGGTGAGTGTGAGTGTCTGCTCTCTGTGCTCATCCCGGTGAGTGTGAGTGTGAGTGTCTGCTCGCTGTGCTCCTCCAGGTGAGTGTGAGTGTCTGCTCTCTGTGCTCATCCCGGTGAGTGTGAGTGTGAGTGTCTGCTCGCTGTGCTCCTCCAGGTGAGTGTGAGTGTCTGCTCTCTCTGCTCATCCAGGTGAGTGTCTGCTCAGGGGCACAACATCACCAAATGCCAGCTGCACAAGGTGTGGTAAGGGGCAAAGTGTCGATCACTTTAAAGTCAATCCCTCTTTACTAGAGGCTGTTTGCACATAGTAGAAAAACCCAGTGCATTTGTAAAACTTTCTCTCCCTCCTAGCAGACACACAGGCAGCAGTTCAAGGATTTCCTACTTACAGGTTCTATTTGGCTCCTACTTAACACACACAAGGAAAAAATTGCTCTTCAGAGGTGTCAACATCACCTTCAGGGGGAGGAGAGGCAAGGCTTGCCTTGGCTCCTAGGAACTGCTCCTCCATCCCAGAATGGGAACACCCAGGAACCAAGTGGGACCTTCCATTTGGGGTATTTCCTTTGCTGACTTTAACCCTGAAGCATCTTTAAAAGAGCAATATTTCATTTTGAAAACATGCCAGTTTTTTGGTTCTTCCAAACTTTATTTCACCTGGGAATGGGGGAGGAGGAAAAGAGTGGTACAGGATGGTACAAACTCAAGAATCACCACAATCCTCATCAAAATTGTGTTTTTCAAGAATTAACTGCTCCCTGCCCATTCACTTTCTTCTCTATAAACCTGACTTGCCCTTACTTAAGCCCTGAATGTCACACATTGGACACCAACTTCACCACAGTTATAGTGCTAAATTGCTAGAGATAAGAACCACTGATTCTTGTGGGGTTTGAACCATCTGGAAGGCAGATCAGAACAGCCTCCTTCTTGCAACTAGAAAGAGCACAGGGTGCATGAAACTGTATTTGTGCTCTAAGGGAGGGTGGTAGGGCTGGGACTCATCACCTCTCAAGAGGTCCAGTCACGGGCCCTGAGCTCAGCAGGATCTGGGACCTGGCTGGGCCTCGTGGTTGACTTGATGCCATAAGATTTGGCAAAGCTTTCACAGTCTCCCTGCTCAATCTCAGCACTGTGATGCTTGGGGAAAGCTGTTCCTAACCATGTTACTTTCTGTCTTCCTGTGTGAAGCCCTGGGTTGCCAATGTCCTCTCTTGCTCCTCTGTCCTTGTTTTATCCTGCCTCCAGGATCAGAGAAGTGCTAAAGCTGTGTCCAATCCCTGCTGGCCCCTCACCTACTCCCAGCAAGTGCAGTGGCAATCGGTGCATGCTGGGCCTTGTGCTGCCAGTGATGACACATGGGACATCCCTGGCCCCAAGGAGGTCTTCAACATCACGGGCTCCAGCAATCCCACAGCCTGCATGAACCTCGTGCAAAGCCTGCTCAACTCTTCCTCTTCCTGCAACTTCTTCAAGCATTCCCTCAGCAGTGGTCTCAAGCCCCTTCAGACCAGGTTTCTGGTGAGTTCTCATTTACACTGGGGTAAGCAAGTGGCATGAGGAACCCATGAAATGGGACCAGTTTGACCATTAATCAATACAGTGGGAACCCAGACCATGACACTCCTGCCCTCTCCCCCTCATTGCCACACAGCTGTTCAAACATGGACCACTGGCTTCCCACAGGGACAGTGGGGGAGCTTTTTTCATCTATGTCTCCTCAATGTCTGCTGATGAGACCAACTCTAGAGCTCCATGGAGCCAGCAGGGATGGGACAGTCAGGAGTTGTGTGCTGAGCAGGTCTTCCCACACCAAGACTATGGTAAAGCTGGAGATCCTCTGCCCCTCTCTTACAAATTTCTCATCATGCTGCAGCACAAGCACCCTTCTACCTGAGAACCTGAACTTAGCGGCCAAAGTCATTGGATTGTTAAGCCAGGAGTAGCTCAAGGTCCTAGGACAAGCTGAGGGCATTTCCAGGGAGGGTAACTGGAATTTCCCCAGCTCCCTGCTCCTGAGTCTCCCATGGACATGGTGCCAAGGAGCATCAGGATCTTCTCCCAGTCCTCAGCACTGGTGAGGTTACACCATGAATATTGTGCTCAGTTTTGGGCAAGAAGGGCTGGAGCATGTCCAGGGAAGAGAAGGGAGCTGGGGAAGGGGCTGGAGTCCCAGGAGAGGCTGAGGGAGCCAGACAGGGGCTCAGCCTGGAGAAAAAGAGGCTCAGAAGGGACCTTGTGGCTCTGCACAGCTCCTGACAGGAGGGGACAGCCGGGGGGGTTGGGCTCTGCTCCCAGGGAGCAGGACAGGAGGAGAGGAAATGGCTCAAGCTGTGCTAGAGGAGGTTGAGATTGGATATTAGGGAAAACTCCTTCACCAAAAGGGTTGTCAAGCCCTGGCACAGGCTGCCCAGGGCAGTGGTGGAATCACCATCCCTGGAGGGATTTAAAAGCTGTGTAGGTGTGGCACTTGGGGACATTGTTTAGTGGTGGGCTTGGCATTGCTGGGTTAATGGTTGAACTTGATTTTAGACATCTTCTGCAACCAATATGATTTTTTGGTTCTATGACCAGTCTACTTATCCAGGCAGGGCCAGGAAGGCTGCTGGATGCATGCTGGGAACAGCCCTGTTTCCATCTCCAGACAGCAACAGCTCTGCTCGTGTCCCTTGAGCCCTTCCAAGGCACAGGAACCAACCCTGCACACCAAGGGCACCCTGGCAATGCTCAGCCACTGCCCCTCACTTCACTAGGGGCAATTTCTGGTGTGCAATGCAAGGACACAGGGCACAGTCCCACCTGATGATTATTTCTGCTGCTGTTGTAGGTGGTTTCTGAGGCCATGGACTTCTTGAGAGGAACTGCACCTTCTCCTGACTTGGGTCAGGCTGTCCAGAGGCTGTGTGGGATGTCTGTCAAAGAGGTGACTGTGGAGTGACTCGGTGTGCAGGGCGAATGGGAAGCAAGGAACAGTTTGCTGCAAAAGCCCACAGGGCTCAGACTGACAGAGCTGTAACTTACTGGTTCCCTCAGGGAAAAATTTGGATTTGTCTGGGTTTTGTGGGTTTTGGGTTTTTGTGGGGCTTTTCTTTGGTTTGGGGTTTTTTTTCGTTTTTTTTTTTGGTTTTTTTTAACTTTGAGGAAACAGGGTCTACTTATTTTCCTTCCTCCCAAATCCCAGTTGCTGCTGGCAACAGCTGGACCTAATTAAATGAAAAGCCACAAATACCTTTGACATTATTTTAAGGAGTAAACAGGAAGGTTGTCTACTCACTCCTGCACATCACCTTGGTCTTTCTGTTGTCCTTCTGTCCTTAAGTGCAAGGGACACAATTACTCAGACTCCAGGGTTGATCCCATTTCACCTGAGCCCATGGAGCCCAAGCCAGAAGGAGTTTGTCACTTCTTTCCCCGAGCTGGTGGTTATGAGGTCACCCTCATTTGCATTTACACTGATGGAGCATCCACAGTAACATTCAAATGGGGCAATTTCTCCAGGGTTTGTTAATGAGCCATAGGCAGTGCCCTAAAGCATTCTCTTCTGGAAGGAGGAGAAAGACCCCAATGTTCCAGTTGGGAGAAAGGCTGCAGCATCAGTTTAACCTAATTAGATTAGAGAGCAGGGAATCAATCCTACCAAGCAATTCACCAGCAAGGCAACCTGGTGTCAGTCCTGCTGCTCTTGGATCTGGCTTGGTAAGATGGGAACAAAGTAACAGATGACACTGAATTCTACCTCACAGCCCAGTGAGTGCAGGAAATGTGGTTTCAGTGGGCACAGGACACAAACCCCCTCCTCCAGTCCCACAGTCAGTTTCAGAACAGGAAAGGAGAGGCTGTAGCAGGCCTGGAATTTGGCTATTGAGTACTTACTTATTTTACTTCTCTCCCCCATCTTCTTTTGTTTTGTTCTGGAAATGGCACCAGCTAATGAGGGAGTCCCAGGCAAGCCTGGATACACTTGTAGATTACTGCACTGTGTCTGCCTTCATCTTCCATCTCAGTACAAGAGGATACACACTTGACTTTGACCAGCCTGCTTGGATTGCATTCCAGAAGGTCAGTTCCTTCAGCACAGTGTTCCCAGTTCCCAGGAGGGCTGGTCCCAGCACAGCCAGCCTGCTCCCACACTGACAAGCCCTAACCAGCTGGGATTCTCCAGCAGGACAGTTTTGTTAAATGGATTCACAGTTGTGATAAACAAGAAAACCACTGTCAAAGAGCCAGAGATGACACTTGTCCTCTCTGAAAAACACATGGGTCAAAAATCTTCTCTGGATCAGCACCATCTTTAGAAATCTGTGTTGACAGGGAAGGAAGTACAGCTTGATCTCCACTTAATGCTAAGGACAAGCTGCTGGTAACATTTCCTGAGCCAAAAGGTGCTTCCCTACCTTTTTGCAACCACTTTTAAATTCATGAGGGTTGATAAATACCTTATCATCATAGAATCCTAGACTGGTTCTGGACTGGCAGGTATATTAAAGCTCACTTCATTCCACCCCTGCCATGGGCAGGGTCACCTTCCACTGTCCCAGGCTGATCCAAGCCCCAGTGTCCAGCCTGGCCTTGGGCACTGCCAGGGATCCAGGGACAGCCACAGCTGCTCTGGGCACCCTGTGCCAGGGCCTGCTCACCCTCCCAAAGAATTTCTTCCTAATATCTAATAATCTAACCCAATCTCTAATAAGATCTGAAATTGCTCTGGGATCTGGAGGTCCTAAAGACAGGGGAATTTTTTCAGGTCATTCCCTTCACAAAAGAAAAGAAAGCCTGTTCCCAGACCTCTTCACAACTGATAATCACAGCCATGGTCCCACTGAGCAAGGCCAAGTAGTGACCATCAGAAAAGGCAAGGTAATGAGGTAGGCCCAGGACCCCCAAGGAGCCCATCTTGGAAAGACAAGCAAACCTAAACCATAAGTCTGAGGTTCAACCAGAGCCAGAGAGACAACTATCCACAATGCAGGCTTGAGATCCACTAGAAAAACCCGTCAGTAAGCAGAGAACAGCACTCCCCTACAGCACAGCTCAGGAGAGAGGGGGCTGCCCAGGCCAGAGCTTACACGGAGCACCCGTGCCCATGGGCAGAGGTGTGGGTGGAAGTGCCACTAAGGCCTGTTGGTGTACTGAGGGCACTCAGAGTGGGAGAGCTCCTCATTGCAAGCCAAATCCTTGCAGCAGTCTCAGATAATGCAGACAAAGCCTTGGGCCCATGCACAGAAACACAGCTGGGGTCCAGGCCGTCTCCTTCTCTTCTGACCTCTCCTTTTTATTTCAATAGATGGGTGATAGATCATCTGGCTGGACTCTTGGGTACCTGCTGAGTCTGAGCAGCACCATCCCCCAGGACAGCCCAAGCTTCCTCAAGGGGATCGAGCCGGGGGTCTGGTCCCTGCTCCTGATCCTCTTCGTCGTGCTGCTCATGGGCTCCTTCATGCGCATCTCGTACCGAGTGATGGCCAAGGAGAGCAGCTCCAGTCACAGGAACAGCAGCGTTTTCGATGACTGACGGTTTTCTGTGACTCAAGACTCTTGTCAGAGCACAGTTAACAGGGTCCAGACAGAAATCACAGAGGTGTAACTCACTGGAGGATGCGAGTGATTTTTCTGCAGGGCTCCCAGCAACTTGCTGGTACTTGCACTGCTGTAGTTTGAGACAATGGATCCTGCTCCACAGGAAGTCTGTGATTCCTGGTGGATGGCAAACTATTCATTCTCCAAACAAGAACGGCCTGCATGGCTCTTCCTTGGGCTACAGCTGGGATTACTCATGTCAGACATGAAATGATGCCTCTGAGCAGGCAGGCCCTGAGCTGTTGTGAAGCTAATATTGTATAATCCTGTCAAATCAGAAGAGGTGGTGTCTGAAAAATGCGCTCTGTCCTCTTCTGTGGCCTCTCCAGAGATGATACCTGCACTATTGCCATTAGTGAAGACTGGAAGGACATTAAAACACAGTCAGAATACAAAAAACTGCTTCCATGTTCTAGGGAAAATGCAGGTATTTTCTGCCTGATCTGTCTGTGCTTTCATGTCAGTGATGATGGCCACGTGTCCCTTCCAATGAACACTCCTGCTGACCAGGAATCCTTCAAAACCAATCCTTCTTAGTCTTGGCCTCTACAAAATGTGCAGAGGATCAAAGGAGAAACAAAGGGCACAGACACACAGTTTTTGTCTCTCAGCTGAGTCATGGCCACACAGGGTTAAAATTGCCAATTTGAACTCTTTAGCAAGGACTCAAATGAACACATTTAATTTCACATTTGCTAAAGCTGGGCTCATGCTGGGCTGAGGCTCACCTGTTTGTTCATTTGCACTGACCTGCTTCTCTTGCTGACTCTGGAAGTGTCTCAGCTGACACTGCCCTTTAGACCAGTGCAGACTCAGGAACAGAAGCTTTCCTAATTGTCACTTTCATATTTCACCATGACCAGAGTTACTTTATGATCTAATAATCAGGATTCCCCCGGGACCTGGCAGTCATTCTGGCTCCTCTGGTCTGTTCTGCACATCTGAAAGATGAGGTGCTGTACAAATTCTGTGTTACTGTGAAGAAAAGGGATCGATTCACAAGCACTGTCCTTTGACTAAGGCATTTAGAGCTCTCTTCTCAACTGCTTCAGAGACTTAAAACACACTGACTGTTAAGAGCCTCAGGGACGAGTGTCTCCAAGGCTTTTCAGACCACTTTAAACAGAAATGTAAATACTCACAGATGCAGTGGTAAGCCTTGCAGGATTTTTAAAGCTACCATGGCACCTAAATCCTTTCAAATCTGATTATTCGTCCCTTGTGCTCCCAACTGATAATATAGGACACACCCCCATAATATTGGGGTATTCATGCATTTTCAGGCCAATTAATGAAGGTTTGGAACCTGCCAGTCAAGTTTACAGGGCTGTGGAAACAGACTTAAGCTTCATATTCATTTCTTTGAGTTGCACGTTAGATATTTTTAATTGTATCATGTCATTAAAGATGTTTTAATAGACTGTCTGTGTTATTCTTGGCAAGAGATCAAAGCAGGGGGGTTATTGTGAACACAGAATGTTTCAGGGAGCAGGATGTTTCAGGGTGCTGCTGCTGCCTCTACTCAAGAGCTGTTTTGCTGTGTACTTTTGGGGTACACAGTGAGAACCCCTGAAGGCAGTGAAAGAAAGAGATTTCAGATAACCTGACTGCTGGTATTTAGTTGATGAGAGAATGCCTACACCTTTTGATGTGTTCTTTGTTCAAACCATCTGAAGAAGGTAGGAGGCATCCAGGCAAGGTGGCATAGAAAAAATAAAGAGGTTATGATGGAGTCAGCAATATCAGGGAAATTCCTGAGGCTTCATTCATCCTGCACCTGGAAATGCAATTGTTTAACATAGCTCTGGCTTGGTGACCTGACAGCATAGGGGTGAGCTCTGGCATTCCTGGCTCAGATTTGGAACCTGCTGAGGAAGAATCCTACCACTGTCAGAAATAGAAAGAAGCCAGTGAGATGCCAGGAACTCCTGGTGCTCTGGCCTGTTAGTCATTGTACCTTCTTGAATTGGAATAGATCAGAGGGTCCAAAAGAAAAGGGTATCAGCCAGAACTTCCCCAAGCTCTTGTTTAGAAGCTTTGGGACTTCCACACAGATAATAAGTGAGTAATTAGGCAATGAGCTCAGCGTGGCCTCCTGACACTTCACTTTTGCCTTGCACATGCCACTGAATTAAATCCCTGCCCCCTGAGCCACCCTGACAATGAATACTGCTCTGCCATGCAAAAACCCACAGCCACTTCTTTTTCTAACAGATAAAAACATTTATAGATGTTTTTACTAAATGATAAGATAGATTGGGATTTTAAAACTGGTGTTTTGGTAACAAAAAAGGCATAAAATAACAAAATGAGGAACCTGTGATAAGAAAAGAGGCTAATACTGGTAACATATTCCTTCCTCTCAGCTCTCTATAGAGCAGCTTGTTCATGTCAGCCCCACAATAAGTTTGCAGAATAAATTCCCAGATTGCCTGGACAGCTGAAATCTACTTAAAAGGAGATTCTAGATGAACTCACTCACTTTGAAACAAAGGTGCTTGCAGGCCTTTGGTTACAATTCAACTAAGGAAATGATAAATAATGAGGATTTTCTGTCTGTAAATTCTTTATGTTTATATACAGGGCCCTCACTTCTCACTCAGGCTGAACCATGGCAGAGATCTTCTGGCAGATAATAAAGTCTGCTCATGTGCAACTGCAGTTCTGCTGCTGTCAGCAAATACCAATAAGAAGGAAATAAAAAGTATTAGATAAAAAAATTGACACCAGAGAGGACTTTCTCTATTTTAGCTTCAGATACACAACAGGGTGACTGATCTGCTCCTGGCTATTAGGGCTTAACTGTCATTTAGGCATCCCAAAGCACCATGGATTCTCAACCAGTACATCCCATCTGAGTTGTCCTAATGAATTCCCATGAATATTGAGGGAAATAGTTTGTTGCCTGCAGTTCCCCTCTGCACCACCCACAGGGCCTGAGTTGTTTCTTTCTTCCCATTCTGACATACTCAGGCTCCCTATGGGAGGAGAGACCCAGGCTGAGGCCTTGGAATCCACAACCCCTAGGGGAACAAACCCAGCAGAAGATGAGAGCAATGCCTTTCATGGATGGCTGGATTTAGTATATTTTCATGTTGTTCTTCTACCCTGCCTCTGATCCTCTATCTGAGTGTCTTTCCCAAGAAGCAGGCAGCCATATGATGTTTATATCTTACCTCATGGACTGTCACTCCTACTTCAAGAGCTAATTCTGAACACACTGAAGAAAAACAGGCCTGAAGGAATACTGGGATCATAAAACCTGCAATTTTTGCAACAGCTTTCTTAATATAAAAGTCCTTTCACAATGCCATCAAACCCAGGGAAGTCCCAGTGGTTTGATGTTTTCTAAGTGCAGATCAGTGGACACTGAGGTGACCAGGTTCCCTCCATGTGAGATATTCACATCCCTCCTGCAGCAGGATGTTGTCAGATCCCTGTTCAAGTCAGATAAACACAGAACAGGAACTGCTGCAGTAGTAGTGTGCAATGCCAGGGATCGTCACGAGAGGGAGGCTGGCAGAGCACCCCTCAGAAAGCCTAAGGAAATCTCTGACACAGCCAGCAGCTTCTCCCACCACTAATGACATCAGTTAGCAAGGAGGCTTCTCTGGGAACACCTTGTGGATGCAGGGGAAAGACACTGCAGTATGGAAACTCTCTGTGTGGGATGTGAAAGCCACTCTGACCAGGGATTCAAGAAGCCATGGCACTGGAAGAAGTCCTCTATGCAGGGAGACAGACACTAGCATGGAGTATGGATGAAGGCTCTTTTGGAAATAAGAGGGAGAAAGAATAATCCCTACCAGGAAGAGAAATGCCCTGGGAATGAAGAGGAGGTTTGAGAGAGACAGAGGAGTGATAAAATCAACTTTTGTGTGAAGGAAAGCTTATTTTTGCTCACAGCAGGGGTGTCACCATATGTGCACCTCATGACCAAATTAGTCACCACTTCTTGGTGGAAAGTCTCAGGAGAAACGGATCCTCCACGTGGAAGAAGGCAACAGCTATCAGGCTTATCACCGGACAAGGAACGGCAGCAGAGCCGTGGAACCTTCATGGGAACAATGTTCAAAGTTCACAGGTTTCAAACATGAAGGAGATGTAAATGGCCAAGTAATGCCAAACATTACACAAAGTAAAAGCTGGTTTAGCATTAACTTGTCTCACAGTATCACAACACATGTGAAACAGTCCTGGAGTGAAAGCTCTGAAGGGACAGGCTCAGGGCCTTGTGAATGGAGTTACTCAGTGGAAATCATCAAACCAAATGGAAGGAGCTCTTCTTGCACTCCAATCGTAGTTAACCCGCAGGACTCACCAGGACAGGAGGCTGTTTATGCCATAAGTTTACATGGCTGCAAAAGGTGATTAGATAAATTCATAATAAACCATTGGGGTAAGTTACTTGCTTGTGGCTAAAGAATTGCCCGAACCACCTGCCACATCCATATCTGTTTGCCCTGTTCCTCTTTGATAAGTGCTGCAGAGCATGAGAGACAAGACACTGGCCTGGGTGGGTCTGTGGCTTGACCCATTCAGCTACTCTGATTTCCCTCAGGCACGAATCCCACGACTGCACCTCTCACTCACTGGCCTCTGGAAGCAGCCTCTCACCTCCGTAACTTCAATATCACAGGAGCAGTAATTTCTGGAAAACAAGACTGCTTACCCTTAGAAGTAACAATCAGATGAGAAGGAGAAAACACCTGCACATACCCACGTCTCACTTCAGTGTTACCATAAACCTGGAACAACCCCAACACCAAAACCCCTCTGGTTCTGGAGGCAGCTCCCACCCACACTCATCCTCCAGCGTCCCTCCCTTAACTTCAGGTTTTTACCTACAGAAACAGAATAAGTCCTGTGATTCCTGTCTGGGCTCCTGGCAGCCCCAGGTAGAGGCTCAGTTCACACTGGATCTTGTTTCAGACA